CACTCTTTCATGACAAGAGGTTAATCAAAAAACAAACAAATGACTTGCTGTATTACTGTCATGCACCTTCCCCTTAACAGCTAAAGGGGAAGGTGCAACTTGGAGGCTAACTAAAACACCATGTTTGTCTGTGCTACATGCATTTTTAAAGATTAGGCTACTAGAGTTGCCGTAACAGAATCATCAGGGTGATTCAAAAAACCATTTCTCTGAGGCACATTTGCACACAGTTCCTTCAAGGTACTTGGCTGGTATGTTGTTCCAAGTATCTTGGAGAGTTTACCACAGTTCTTCTGTGGTATTAGGCTGCCTCAACGTCTTCTGTCTCTTCATGAAATTGCAGACTGACTCCAGGATTTTAAGATCAGGACTCTGTGGGGGACATATCTGCTGTAGAACTCCTTGTTCATCTTGTCACTGAACCGATAAGATGACATCCTGATACATCTATTGTATAGTGCTTAACATTTGTTCAATCATGCAGTTTTTAAATGAAGGTTTTTATTATTAAGGGAAAACAAAATCCAAAACTACAAAGCCCTGTGTGAATAAGTGTTTGCCCCCTAAACCTAATAACTGGTTGGGCCACCCTTAGCAGCAACAACTGCAATCAAGCGTTTTCGATAACTTGCCATGAGTCTTTTACAGCGCTGTGGAGGAATTTTGGCCCACTCATCTTTGCAGAATTGTTGTAAGTCAGCCACATTGGAGGGTTTTCGGGCATGAACTGCCTTTTTAAGGTCATGCCACAGCATCTCAATTGGATTCAGGTCAGGACTTTGACTAGGCCACTCCAAAGTCTTCATTTTGTTTTTCTTCAGCCATTCAGAAGTGGACTTGCTGGTGTGCTTTGGATCATTGTCCTGCTGCAGAACCCAAGTTCGCTTCAGCTTGAGGTCACAAACGGATGGCCGGACATTCTCCTTCAGGATATTTTGGTACACAGCAGAATTCATGGTTCCATTTATCACAGCAAGTCTTCCAGGGCCTGAAGCAGCAAAACAGCCCCAGACCATCCCATTACCACCACCATATTTTACTGTTGGTATGATGTTCTTTTTCTGAAATGCGGTGTTACTTTTACGCCACACATAATGGGACACACACCTTCCAAAAAGTTCAACTTTTGTCTCGTCTGTCCACAGAGTATTATCCCAAAAGTCTTGGGGATCATCAAGATGTTTTCTGGCAAAACTGAGACGAGCCTTTATGTTCTTTTTGCTCAGCAGTGGTTTTTGTCTTGGAACTCTGCCATGCAAACCATTTTTGCCCAGTCTCTTTCTTATGGTGGAGTCATGAACACTCACCTTAACTGAGGCAAGTGAGGCCTGCAGTTCTTTGGATGTTGTTGTGGGGTCTTTTGTGACCTCTTGGATGAGTTGTCGCTGTGCTCTTGGGGTAATTTTGGTCGGCCGGCCACTCCTGGGAAGGTTCTCCACTGTTCCATGTTTTCGCCATTTGTGGATAATGGCTCTCACTGTGGTTCGCTGCCGTCCCAAAGCTTTAGAAATGGCTTTATAACCTTTTCCGGACTGATAGAGCTCCATTATTCTCTTTCTCATTTGTTTTTGAATTTCTTTGGATCTCGGCATGATGTCTAGCTTTTGAGGATCTTTTGGTCTACTTCACTTTGTCAGGCAGGTCCTATTTAAGTGATTTCTTGATTGCGAACAGGTGTGGCAAGAGAAATTGAACTCAGGTGCGATAAACCAGTGTTTTGACAGGGGGGCAAACACTTGTTCACACAGGGCTCTATAGTTTTGGATTTTGTTTTCCCTTAATAATAAAAACCTTCATTTAAAAACTGCATGATGTGTTTACTTGTGTTATCTTTGACTAATATATAAATTTGTTTGACGATCTGAAACATTACAGTGTGACAAACATGCAAAAAGATAAGAAATCAGTAAGGGGGCAAACACTTTTTCACACCACTGTAGTTTGGTTTCAGGAGTTTTTCCTCAGATGTTTGTGAATAAGCAGCTGAAAACAGACAGACATAATAACTGTGAAAAGGAGAGGTGTCACAGCAATAGCAAAATCTGAATACACGTGGTCAGCTGGACACCTTGGAGATGCATGTACGTGTCCAGTTGTGATCAGATCACTGACACATTTTAATACCAAGTTTAAACAAAGCCAACAGGAGCAATGTTATATGGGGATCTAGGAAATTGTCATAGACATCCAACTATTTTCTGACATTTTACAGAAAAAACTAAATTGATTAACTGACAAAATAACAGGCTACAGTAACTGATAGATAAAATAATCGTTATTTTCAGCCCTAGAAGCGACAGTACTCATTCAGTGGCAGCATTTATGATTTCTTTATTAAAGTAGTGCTTTGTCCTGTGGCCTTTGTCGGGGGATTCTGTAAGAACCCTGAGTTTTCTTTACCTCAAAGGCCATGAACCACAACCCTATATTAACATTAAAATAAATCATAAATGTAGTGGTTGAATGAGGACTGCAGCTTGGAGGCAGTGCTATTAAATGAAACAAAAACCTCAGCCAGCCACATAATCAGTCTAGCCTGTTTCATTAAAGCTGAATTTAACCTCTAACTTCAGTGAACAGCCACTCTAAACGGCTTACAAAAGGGAGCTGTACTTTTCCTGAGGAAAATGTGTCACTATCACAAAGTGCAATGTTTTACTGAATGAAGGTCATATCCTCATTGACATCAGTTAAGCTTGTGTTACAGGCGTTACACACTTTGGAGGCAAAAACAGGCTGAGCTGTTTATGTAGGCATGAAAACAAAGAAAAATAGTGGAGAGTAGTGTGTGTACCTTGCTGTAGAAAGCTGTTCCTCTTATTATTCTGTTTTTCCTCAACATTTGAAGCTGATGTGGTGACAGAAACAACACTATAATGTGTGCCTTATAGGTCCCCACTGTGTCACTCCCCCAGCCTTCGTTCTGATTACTGACCGCTGCAGAATCGCTGGGGCTGTAATTAGTGCTAGTGTAACTAATTGGCTTGCATGGAAGTGACATTGATGGGAGGCAAGAAAATGAATTAATGAGGAGAAGCATTGGCAGATTAAATGGAACTACTAAAAAGTAAAAGTGGAATTGGCATTTACATTGAAAACAAAACAAAAACAAAAAAAGAAAACCAAATTCATACACTCATGGTTGTTTGCTTCTGAGTGTGTGGGTGGGAGGATGTGGGCTTATGTGGGCATCCACTCCAAGTGACTATCTCTGCATGCATGTGTGTTCTTGTACTTGCTGCATAGTGAGGACCAAAAAAGTATTTTTATTTTTTTTTTGTGAGGACATTTATGGAAAGTGAGGACATTTTGGCTGGTCCTCACATTGTTAGGACTTGGTTTTAGGGTTCAGGTTAGAATTAGTTTAGGTGAAGGGTTATGGTTAGGCATTTAGTTCTGATGGTTAGGGTCAGGGTGAGGCGCTAGACAATGCATTATGTCAATGAGTGTCTACTTCAGAGCACACGTAACTAGATGTTCTTTTAATTGACAGAAGAAATCTCTCAAGCGCTAGATATGCTTCCATGTAGAGTATGGTAACCTTTAAAACAAAGCCAGCCCTGCCCCCTCTCATTCTCCTGTAATTGCCTGCGCTGGGTGTGCACACTCGCCTGAAAAGGTTATCGTGTTCCTTGCCACTTGTCATGATGAATGAGCAAACACAGCAGGAAATGAAAATTTGATGTTTCAAAAATCTGCCTCACACTAAGCTGGAATGTAGAATATGCTTTCTTTGGTACCTTCAAATTATTAAAAAGCAAGCAAACAAATAAAAAGGCAGAGCAGGCAATCAGCAAATGAACACACCCAAGAAGGAAGGACTCAAGACTTGCACTGCTGCTACATTAGTATTCACTAGAGTCTAGTACAACCTGCAAGCTTCTGCTGGCATATTCAGTTTTCTCTGGTGATGTGTGTGTTTGAGATGTGTGTACAGTATATACATATAGAGATATATACTGTAGCTATAGATATAGATAGATAGATAGATAGAAAAGATACTTTATTCATCCCCAAAGGGAAATTCAACTGTCCAGTAGCTCATAAAAAAACAACTGCACACATTCATCAACAATAAAATAACATATAATTTAATTTAAATAAATTAACAACTGTCCATATACTGTGGACATATATATAACTGTGTGATGTGCACATGCATTCTGTATACGAGTGTATACACACAAGTAGTTGTGTGCAGCACAGGGCTGTACGACTAATCATTTTTCGATCTCGATCTTCGACCCTTACGTAATCTCATTTTCACATATTGACAATACTGAGTTAACCAATAACAGGAATGCATTACATCAGGTGATGAGCTGTACAAGAGAAAACTGATTAAAAAAAATCCAGGATGTAAAGAAGACAACGACCAATTGCCTTTGTGCTTCCCTTGGTACACAAATCCCTGTGGGCAACAGTTGCAATTATTCATGTCACATTTTGTTTGCATTGTTGCATGTTTGTGTGTTTGCATACATTATATTTATGTTTCCTTGTACAGTATGTCCTGTAATTATACCTGTTTGTGTTAGGCGGTCGAGCAGCCTGGGTGGTCTCAGCACTGACTGCAGGCAGCACTGATAAGCCAAAGGTGTGAGGTGAATGGCAGGTGAAAGCTGTTATCGCCAGAGGCTGGCTCAGACTTTGGCACCACTGCCTGTTGGACCTTGAAAACTCATTTTGACAGATGCATCTCCTGCCTGGCTGTTGATGTGCGGTGGTGGGGGGGGGTCAGATGACACTCGCCCAAGCGGCTCATAGTAGCATTAGCCGACACCACATTGGGCAAACCTGCAATTTATACTTCTGTCCCAGCCATTAATGACAATGACATGCAAGAAGCAACCACTGTATCATCATAGTGCCCACCAAGAACTTCAGAAGAATTAATGTTTTATTCTTCACTATTTTTAGAAGGTTTTTGCTGAGATGAGTTTGTGACAATCCAGACAATATTCTTAGGAAGCAATAGGAACTTCTGCATGTGCCTTTTTTCTCACAGCCATGCACAGTCATTTCTACAGCACCAATCTTCCCTTCTGCACACTGACATGCTCACAACAGTATTCTCTAAATCTTCTACTTTCTTTCCTGATAGAGCCACATCTCCAGATCTTGCTGTGTTCTACATCCCTGTCCAATCAAAGATAATAGAGCGCTATTGTATTGATTTAGCTTGCCCCTTTCAAAATGTTAAGTCAGCTTACTAAAACAACCATATACCTTAGTGGGCACTGCACTGAGAGAAAGCACTAATTGAGGCTATGCAGAAGTTAGTTCAGATTTATTCTGTGTCAAAACCAACCATAAAAAATAATTGAGATAAGTACATTTCTCTCCACAAATAGAATACGAAACATATCTGCAACTCAGACGACAGGTGGCTCAGCGCCAGTGAATAGAAAGTGCTTGTTGTATCGATGCCAAGACTGTTTATTTTTTCTCTTTTCAGATTAGACAGAGCTAACACAGAGGAGGTGACCCTTATCATATCCTGAAGAAGACGAGACAGGGCATGACACTGTGCTTGTCTGCATTGCCAAAGAAGAGCCAGAGAATCATCGACTTCCCAGCTCCATCAGGAGCCCTTTTAACACTGCTCCAAGTTGCATTGAAGGGCTCAAACATTCCCCTGACTCCACCAGGAGGCTCACTCCAACCCATCTGCCAGCTCAGATAACCCTCTGATTGTTGGCAACCACATGTTTGAGGTGACTGTCTGTAACCATCGTCGCCTGTTACCAAGCAGCAGCAGCCTCCTGCGACCCCAATCTGCACCATGCAGTGGAGACGGCGGCACTGCTGTCCTATCAAGATGACCTGTACTGTCAAGCGTTCGCTCTTTCGGACCCATGTGGCCGGCCTCCTCTCGCTGGCTCTGATCTTCACCTTCTTCTTGTTTTTTAGCCACCAGGACTGGTTCCCGGGACGTAATGGGCCTCGGGAAAGCCCACTGGCCTACACAGTCAGGGGTTTCCGCAGCCCCAAGGGAGACGCCAACCACAGCAGCCCCCTGAGGAGCCTGTGGAGGGAGACAAGATATGTAGCACCAAAGCCTCTCTTCAACCTCAGCTCTCAGCAAGTAGAGGGGGCGAATGGAGAGGCAGGAGGAGGAGCCAGGATGGGCGTAATGGGGCTTGGGGACTCAATGAGCACAAATAACAGTTTACAGAATGAGATGGGTGTGGGAGGGAAGCTCAGTGCTCAGCCCTACCACTACATACTCAATGAGCCCTTCAAGTGCAGGGACAGCATGCCATTCCTCATTCTTCTTATTGCTGCAGAGCCCATACAGGTTGATGCCCGCAACGCCATTCGCCAGACGTGGGGGAATGAGAGTGTAGCAATGGGCCTGGGATTTGTCCGTCTCTTCCTGCTCGGCACAGGAAAGAGCTCAGACACCTTCCTCCAGAGCAGCATAGAAGAAGAGAGCCGTGTATACCACGACATAATCCAACAGGACTATCAGGACACTTATTACAACCTGACCATCAAAACCCTGATGGGCATGAACTGGGTTGCCACCTACTGCCCACATGCCTCTTATGTGATGAAGACAGACAGTGACATGTTTGTCAATACTGAATATCTCATCCAAAAGCTGCTGAAGCCTGAGCTTCCTCCCAAGCTGAGGTACTTCACCGGCTACCTGATGAGGGGCTATGCACCAAACCGAAACAAGGACAGCAAGTGGTACATGCCACCAGAGCTGTACCCAAGTGAGCGCTACCCGATATTTTGCTCAGGCACAGGGTACGTGTTCTCAGGGGACATGGCTGAGCTGATCTACCAGGCCTCTCTCAGCATACGCAGGCTGCACTTGGAGGACGTTTATGTGGGGATCTGCCTGGCGAAGCTGCGCATCGAACCAGTGCCCCCTCCTAATGAGTTCCTTTTCAACCATTGGCGGGTGTCTTACTCCAGTTGCAAGTACAGCCACCTGATCACCTCACATCAGTTCCACCCCAATGAACTCATCAAGTACTGGAATCACTTGCAGAGCAACAAGCACAACGCCTGTATCAACATGACCAAGGAAAAGAATGGAAGGTACAGACACCGAAAGTTCCACGGAGAGAGGCCTCCGTGATGTATCCTGTGACCACCACCCACCTCAGAAAAAAAAGGAAATGGCTGCACTGTAACTACAGCTGGTGGGCGGTGGGGGCAGCTGAACTCAGCACTATACACTATATGGGAAAAAGCACATTGTTTTTGGTATTGTGTAAAGTCGATGATACAAGCTATTTTTTTAATTTGAGAAAAAAAAATTGTAAGCCTGTTGAGCTATTTCTAAAAGGGAGATCAGAGGACGTGTGTGTGATGTGGAGCAGGCACAAAAAGTGCTGCAGCTCAAGAGTGGTTTTTATGATAATTCAGGTGCCAACAGAAAGGTGGTAATTCATTCTACAGTTAATACGAGGATTCTCTTAAAAAGAACAGTACAGTATGTTGAACTCTACAAATCTAAAAAGAAAAATTAAGACAATAGTGTTTACACAGAAAAAGGGACGTGTTGTGTCAAAAGTTACACTACCTAAATACGAATGAAAGTATCTTTGACGTTGACCAGTTATGCTGCCCTGTTTCTCAGTGTTTACTTTACAGATTTATCAAAGAAAATGACTCTAAAGAGGTTTATCTGTCATATACTGTATTTTATTTAAAAAGAAAACCTACATAAAAGCACTCAGAATCACATCAGAGATGACTGAGATTGTATTTTTAAAGCTTTACATTGAGTTTGACTCTGCACTTGAATCAATCAACTATTAAATGTACTGAAGTCATATTGTTTGTAGTTGTGTGTAGTTTCATGACACATGAATCGGAACAGCTCACCATTATATATATACACACACACACCAGTGACATAACCATACTGTAGCATAAGGTTTGTGTATAATTCAGATGTTCAGTGGATTCATAATTTAATTACATAAACACTCATATTTTACAAAATTGTTGTTTTACATAAGCGAGTGAAGTAACTTGATTAGATGTAAATGCTGCACAGTTTAGTTTTTACTGGACATCAGTCACAGAATATCAAATACTTTCATCTATGTTTTGATAGAAAATTCTGGCCATCTCTCTCAGCCTTAGCAGCAAAGGCTAATTTGGAAACCAGAAGCTAGCTGCAGTGGATAGTCAACAAACTGTTAGCTTAGCTGTAACCGAAACATTTACCAGCTGAAGATTCACTTATCACTCCTTTAAAATGTGTTGGCTCCAGCAGATAATGGATGGATGGATGATGGCTATACTGGCAGTGATTACATAGTTACCCAATAATCATTCCATCTTAAAACATAGTTCAGAAGAAACCAGACAAATAATGTGCATTTTCTACAGACACAACTGCTAATCATTAATAAATACTGTATTCACTGAACCTTGGAGATATGAATCAACGTCCAAACATTAAAACATTCAGTGGCATTACAGTGAGGTACAAACAATGTGAAGACAAGCAATATGACAGCTGACTAATGAGAAATCAATTTAACACTGAACTCTTCACTTTCCCCAAGGAATATAAAATATTCAGTGGAAAAACACCTAAGTTTAGATTTTAATTAAAAATGAATGCATATCATTTTAAAAGGCTGCCAGTGTTAGTCCAGATGGAACTGAACATTCAGCCTATGCACGTTTATGTATATTTATGAGTGTGTGTGTGCATGGCGGGGTAAAGGGAGGCAATACGTAAATGCACACTCCAGTGCTCAGAGCCCCCAACAAAAAGAGCATATATAATTGGGTGATGACTTGAAAGAGCCCATATCAGACTAAAGTAATCTAATTAAACTAATGGAGAGCAGGCACTCCTGCACTTTTTCCACAGACTTCACTGTCAGTCTCATTTTAATCACCTTTATGTCTGAGTGATTCTGTTTAGTGAGCTGTAAAATGAGTAAAGTTCACACAATATTTTAAGCCACTAATCACTAAAGAGAAGCAGCTTAAGAGAGGAGGAAGCTGAAAAGGTGAAGAGCAGGGAGGGAGAGAATATCAAGATGTTCATCTCAGATAAACTGCACCGTGGCAAGGAATTATTTGAGGCTCCAGCCACAGGCAAAGAGACAACAGCTTTATTTGTTACATATGGAAGAGTTCATGTCATCGTATCACCTTCACCTCAGCAGTTATAAAAACAGTTATACATTTTAGGAAGATTTGTGGGAGAACAAAACATTGTTATCTAAAAACAGAGCAAGTCTATCTGCACACATTTACCACAGTCTGCTTCACAATATATGGATGTGAACTGTCAGCTGTACTATCCTGAAAAACTGTGATAGGCAAACAGCAAGGTGTTTTATTCCTTTCAGATTTACCTCTGGAAACACATAGGGAGTTATATACGTATATCTCTAAATTCCTTGTCAATAACACGATCTTCAGCAATAGTTTTTTTGGTTGTTTTTTTGGAGAGAAGCTTATTCCTATAGTAAGTGTCAGAAAAATTCTTGAAAGTAATTTCTACAGTATTTAGGACGCAGTTTCTCCTGGTTCCACCGCGAGAGGCGTTGACCGTTCGAGACAAAGCAGGAGAGAACTATTAAAACAAGAGGTGGCACTGGTTGGACAAAAACAAACACTAACCTTACTGAACTGAAGCTCGACCTCAAATTATTTTGTCCATAACTGAAAACAGAAAGGTTAGAGTGTATATATTTGAAGGGGTTCCTCTGCTAATTTATAAGTAGTCATTTATGAAATTGCAAATAATATTTGGCTATGAATCAGCCTTTAGTTACGGCATTAAGCCAAACCTTGTAATCACAACCCAGTAATATTTCCTATGTGGTGACTACATGGCAATGTCCGTCTCAAAGTCTCTGTCATTCCAGCACAGTGCAATTCATGGAATACTCAACACCATCATCCATTAGTGAGGATTAAAGTCACGACTCAAAGCGAGAGGAAACTGGGAACAAGGATTGGTATCATTCATGCATGTCCAATGCAATCAGCCCAGCAGATTACCAGCATCCGGTCACACTCAACCCTTCAACAAATGATGAAAACGAAGAACAGCGGGGGGGAGGAAAAGGGAGTGGGAAAGAACAGGAAAAAGAGGTGAGAGGAAAATGGAGGCAGAGATCGACGGGTCTGCTACTGCGGAGAGGAATGAAGTTAGGGGAAGCAAGGAGTGAAGGCAGTTGACTGTACAGGTGAAAGAGGAAAGGATGAGGAGGAAAGAGAAAAGTAGCAAGATGGAGGTATAGTGATGAATGAAGAGGAAAGGAGCAGGGACTGATTAGCACTGAAAACCTGCACTGCCGTAAATGTGGTATAAAAGGCTAACAGTGGAAATGGAGTGAGATGTCTGCCATGATGGAGTGGATACCGTGGCCCAGCTTTAACATCACAGCTCACGGTTCCTTAAGAATCAGAGATGAGAAAATGCACCTGAAGAAGAGACAAATCTCGTGACCTTTTCGTAACAGCCAGGCCTGGACCTGACTAATACCTTTATGTGGTTATGAATGATGAATATTAATGAGAGTATAAGGTGAAAAACATTCTAACTGAATCTGACAAAGAAAATGATCAATGCCATCTATACCTCAAAAATCCATTAGCTCATGTCTGCAGCAGGGAAATAAACATTTTAAAGCATGAAAAATGTCTTTGTCTTACAAAAATGACTGCTTTACAAGCTCAAAATGCCAAAATAAGAGCAGAATCTGGTTTCACTATTTAAACTTTAACAAATTTATCTAATGCAAATGGTCTATAATTTTCATGAAAACAACAAATTTGCATTAACACCAGTCCTTATACCCAGACATAGTAACTGCACTCAAAGAGCACAGCAAAAGAACTACAGTATTATTTATGAAACTGGTTTGAATGAACTAAGCTGAAGGTACTGTAGCTGTTATTTTTAGCCTTGGCTACAACCACCACCAACCCACCCCAAATGGTACACATATTGATATACTGACAGATTTGATAATACTTCCTAAACAAACTCCACTTTTTCTATCGCTATTGGTCTCTTCTTTTGTACAGCTAAATGCCAAAATGAAATACAACGCCATTACACGTTAAATAAGAAATTTGTTGAGCTGTAGTTTTAGAATCCACCTCTTTACATCGACCTCCACACAAATCCCTTACAGTCATCTCTACAGAAAGCAGGCAGCATCCTATGTGTCCTGCCAGCTGAGGCTGAACACCCTAATGCTTTCAGACAGATGGCAGAATCCAGCCAGGACTCAAGGACTCAGTGACGGGGTGGTGCCAGCATTGAGCCAAAATCTATTTATAAATGTAATTTGACAGTGACACTCCACAATGCAGGAGAACTGCTGGACATCCAGCCTGCCAGGACCCAGATAAACAAATCCAACCCTGTTAGCACTATGAAGAGCCCTATGATGATGTGTGGTGTTGTTTGTACGCGGCACACTGGCCATTAGCCTCACAGAGCAGTAGCAATGGAAGCTGCCCATTGTTATATAATGGAAAAGCTGTACACAGTCTGTGAGAGTCACAAGCAACATGGTGAGGTACAAATTCTCTAGCTTTGAGAGGACATAAAGTACATTCAGTTATCAATTTTAATTTTAAATGTTTATTGTTAAGATAACAAATGGCAGTATTTCCTATAAATGCCAGGTTTGCAACTATCACTGGGTTACAGTACAGCAGATAGGTATTAGGGCAGTGACAGCACAACACTGATTATGCTGCTAAAGTGCTGATGCTCAGCTTTAAAGGCCCATGGCCCCTTTTTAGGAGAGCGCAGTAGATCCTGAATATGCTGAAAAGGCCACCGACATTTTTTTAAATGACTGAACAATGGAAATTTCTTGACTAGCCAAGTTACTCACCTGATCTCAGTGAAATGGATCATGTATGAACTAAAGGCAAAAAAGGCCAGAAAGAAGCAGAAGGTAAAGATGTGCTGCCAAAGAGATATTGCATTGTACAGACACAGACCTGTCTGTTTCCTTTTAGTTCAAAAGAAACAGAAGTAAAAGCTGCTATATAATCAGAGTGCCAGCAACCAAATGAGAAACTTCATCTGATGCAGCCACACTGATTGACAGGTGATCTCTGACTACCAGGAGCAGTGCAGAAACACCACAGATGGTGACGGCAAGAAAGAGCTCAAGTACAGTATTATCATGGTAGGATAAAGACTCATCTATTTATTTATCTGAGCTTATAAGAGCATCTGAAACATCTTAGTTTGTTTTCTTAATTATTAAATCAGTGCAGCAAATCCTACTTCCACTTTTACTATTGATAATGGAGGCCTGAAACCGTGTATAAATACTGACAAGCAAAAATAGAAAGAGGGCTTTTTTTTAAAAGTACATTAATCTACACAAATCAATGAGGTTCTAATTATCTCTCCTCAGGCCTGTCCACCCTCTCCCTGATGGGAGGTTGTGCCAGGCAGCTGCCAGTGCAGCTCACCCACCCCTGTTAGGCTCATGTTTCAGCGTGGTGTTTACCCTTGCACTTTCTGCGATGCCAAACGAGAACAAATCACAGGCCAAGAGTGCATTAGTAGGATTATTGGGTTTTATGCCTGTAAAATACAAGCCTGACAAACTGCTTTTTCCTGGTAAATCTCAGAGGTGTCATCTGGCAAAGTGGAAAACAGAACTCCTGCTTTGCAACAATCATTCTTATGGCTTCAGGCAAATATCTGGTGATACACGTTTGGGAACGGTGGCAGGGTAACCATTTCAATTAGGGGATCTAACAATGTGGCTCCATAAACCTTTTCACTGTGGGACCTGGGGATGACAAATTGTAGATG